TCTCGATCTCATGCATATCTCGATCTCATGCATATCTCGATCTCATGCATATCTCGATCTCATGCATACCTTGAATTCAGGCATATTTCGAATTCATATATCGAACTTGTTGATATTTCAAACTCATTCATCCAAACATTTGTGTTTAATCTTGTTTTGAACATGATCATATGTCGAACCTACGAGTATATTCCGAACCACTCATATTTCTAATTTATTTATATTTCGCTTTGAATATCGAACTAATTCATATCTCAAACTAGTATTGTGAACTCTTCCATACTTTGAACAAATGCATTGCTATTACTTTCTGAATGTAATTCCTTTGTGATAATAGCAAAACGAACAATTTGGAAATCTCGCTCCAGAACTTGAGAAGTGAAAATCGTAGTTAACGGATTTATGGACCTATGTGCACTAACTATGCAGTCACAATCTTCTACCGGAATAAACTAGCGATACTGAGGCTATCTCTTAATGGGGTGAATTTTTGACAACTTTATGGCGCCTAAAATGAACACTACAATGTTGCAATATAAATGTAATGAACTTCTAGGTAATGCAGACTGAATGTTACAACCTTGTAGAGCATTTAGAGAGGACGAAGATGATAACTTTTTGCCAATGCATACATTGTGGGAAATTTCATAGAAGGAAATTATTTCTCTTTGATTGTTTTGGGCCACTCCCTATCCACTGGTTATTCTGGGAGATTTCGTGTTCTCTCCGAACCAATGTAAACGCAGTTAAAAGCAAGGAGCAAGAGGAGATTTCCTATATGTTCATTATGAAAAACTGATCATCGTCAACCCCTCTACATTCCTTAGAAGTTTTTGACAATTATTCTGAGACTTCGGATACATTATTATGACGATGCATGCGCACTCGTCAAAACGTTATTTCAATTTATTTTAATAGACACGAAAGAGACAAGTTGGAATAAACAAATTACGTTATTAGAGTAAAAACAGTAGTGTTTATTTATTTATTGATCGGGAGGTGAGGAACTGTAGAATTATTTATTAAACTGAATCCCGCGAGCTATTAGAACCGTTACTCTGTTCTCGGGAGGCATAGGTCGGTGTGTGATCTTACCGCTTGCAGGACACCGATGACGATGGTGCCAGTCTTGAGAGTGCAGCCGCAGCCGCTTCGCTCCAGTAGCAGCACCATCGCCTGGAACAGCAATCGTTTCAGCACTCGTGCGCGGAAACTAGTACTACCTTCACGGGTTATTCTTTGAACACGGACGGCAAAGTTGACTTTGACCACGACAGTGCCTTTGGTGACTCATTTCAACATTGAATTCGTACGCCAAAGATTAAATTTCTGTACTAGTTAGGTAAAAAAATCACATTAACAGGACACGGGATTTTTTCGAATCTATAAAGCAAAATCCAAACACACTCACACAGGGTGACCGTTGTTTTCAAAAACTTCAAATTTTATTTCTCTCGACTCCAAAATAGGTTCGCAAAATCAAAAAATGTGCTTGAATTTTTTTTAAATTTTCAATTACATTAACCAGTGCCTTTAAGAGGTTGAAATTTAACAAGTGTTTTAAATGAGCTTTCCACACTTTCAGAGACGTTTGAGTGCAGTATGTGGTATTTTACTTATAAAAAATTGATAATTGGAATACCTTGGTTGCTGATGTTGCTGAATTCCAATCCAACGTCAGAATTTAATTTTTGATAATTTCAGCTAGCAAAAAGTTCATTAATTGATGTAAATTATTAATTTCATTTTCATCATTTCCGAGAAGTCACTGCGTCCGTGATCAAATTATTACGTTTCTCGGTAGTGAATTAAAACATACTTAGGTAATATTTAACAAAGATGTTTATTTGTAAAGAATTATACACTAAAAGTACTTGATTTATTTACGGATATATTACACAGTCCTTGTGTTCTTCACTTGATTATTTTTTCTTACACGCCTCCGTTCTCTTGATTATTTATTTACACTGTTCACTGCAATCTGATTATTTATTTACACTGTTCATTTCTACACTATCGCACAGTCCGATGCACTGTCGACGGTCCACTGCGCTGACCACAATTCTCTGCGCTGACCACAATACTCTGCGCAGACCAAAATTGCCTGCGCAGATCGGGGTCCACTGCGCTGCTGTTTACCGCGATGCACACTTCACAGCTCAGCTTCCACTGAATACTTCTTACTGCTGTTCCCCTACTGCACCACTGTTTACGGCAATGTACACTCCACAGCTCAGCTTCCAATGCAGACAGACTACTGCATACTCACACTGACGGACTGACTGCTTGCTACTTCTACTACTCACTTCTACGTACGCTGACTGCTAGTACTATTACTACTGACTGACTCGCGGCCGTTTACTGCCTTACTGACTTACACTGACTAGCGGCCGCCGACAGCGACGAATTTATACCTGGCAGGCGCTCGTCTCGACACTCCCGGTACTTGCAATAGTGTCAAACGTCCTGCCCACGTCTGGCCTCCAGGTCGGAAGCACTGCAGTGACATCAGTTGATGCCCTGAGCCACCTTTGTAGGTGGGACGGCCCAAGATGGAACAAACTGCAAGTGAACAACCACACCTCCACTGGATTCGAACGCGCGACCTTGACCTGACCTCACTCGTCCATTCGTACGTTAGCTACGTCGCCCACCATGCCGGTCTGTGAAATTTTGCGTGTGTCAGAAGAATTCGATCTTTGCCAGCTAGCGGTGTTACCAGGCCGGCGCCGTGTTTTTATTTATTATCCACACCTGAGGGATAATAAATGTGGCAAGCTTGTCGTATTCCCATCATCGTACTTAGTGTATTTGGCCTGCCTTTCGTCGCACAGCTACAGAAACTGAGATGATTTGAAATAAAAAATGAATGTAAGTGCCGTTTCTGTTACATCTATTCGAATAATGATGAACGGATCCAGCCCTATAACATTACGAAGAAGCAAAGTCTAGACGCATTTCTTGATAGTGTTACGGGGTGATTATAAATGTCAGGAGGTGCTTGTGCCAATAAGTTTAAATATACAAAAATTAATTTTTATCGAAGGTATGAAAATGGCTCTTGCATCCTTCTTTATTTGAAGTCTTCATTTGTATTAGAAAGCAACAGCTTCATTTTGTCCCCGACCGAGAACCGAACGCCGAACCGCCCGACGGAAAGCCAGCGCGCTTCCCATGCGCCCCGCAGGGGCCCCGTGAGCCCCCGAGCAATTGAATGTTTCTGCGGGTCCCTCATTAAGCGTTGGCGTTCGTCCCCCGTGGCCTTCCCGCCGCCCAATCCGTCCGCGGAGGGAGAGGGCACTTCCTCTGCCCTTTTGCCCTTTGCCCCCAAGGCCCCGCCCGCGCGAAGCGCTCGTGCGAAGAGGCGGCTCCTCCGCCGCACGCCACGCTACGCCACGCCACGCCGCCTCACGTCACGTCTCGCCGCGCCGTGATCAATACGCTCGAGCGGAGCGCCTGCTGGCGCCTTCTGCGCTCGCGCTTCTGCTCCGCCCGCGCTCGGAGCAGTCGCCCGCAAATGCGGGACTCATTGATTGTTAGAAATTCCGCTACTAGGGCCATTTCTTCCGTGAATGTTTTATTTCGGGAGGTACCGGTGGTTTTCTCCCGCTGAATAGCCAGATCCGGCGCAGGCGGGGTTTTCCCTCAACCAGGTATCTCCCAACAGTGGGGAGCCTAGGCCGGGAAAAACTCTCGACCGGTCTCGAGGTGTGTGTGGTAGTGTAAGTGTGTGTGTAAGGGATAGGACAAGGAAGAGGAAGGAAAGACTCGGAAAGGCGCGGTCCGTGGCCCGTTTCTTTGGGTACTGCTCCGGCATTCGCCTGGTGTTGAAACCACGGAAACTACCGAGAAGAGCAGCCGGCCGCTAGAATTCTCCTTCGACAGCGACTAAATTCGACTGAGCTATCTAGCAAGTGTTGAATATCCTGCTAACGTGCGGACTGTAACCCTAGGATCTCCCGGCCAGAGGCATTGCACTGACCTCGGTGGAAGCCCTGAGCCACCTCTCCCGGCATCAGCCTTCTTGTTGGTGTAGTTTATTTAATCCAGGGTGTGGCGGTGTTCCTCCCCCGGTGGTTGATACGATTCCTCCCTGACCTACTCGTCGGCTGAAATAGGATTTTCCTGTTCACGCAGCCAGGTATCTTCCCCCCAACAAAGCACTAGGAGAAGATCTAACACCCGACCAGTCTCCCGGCATGTGTGTCAGTGTAGTGCATGTTAGTGTGTGTGTGTATGTGTGTGTGTGTGTGTGATGGGTGAGGATATGGCAAGGAATGAGAGGGAAAGATTGCGCACTCTCCGTGGCCGGTTTGTTGGGGCACAGCTCCGGCATTCGCCTGGTGTTGATCGAAAAAAACACAGCAAAAACAAGTACCAATCACAGCAGACGGCCACTAGAATGCTCCCCCAAGAAGAGTTTGCTGTTCAGAAGCTATGCACGTGTGTAATGTGTTGAAAATTTGCCTCCACCGGGACTCGAAATCGAGGATCTCCCGGTCAGATAAGAGACGCTCCACACACAGAGTCAGCCAGTGAAACTAATTGGTGCTGACTTTGTTCAAATTCTTGAAAATTTGGATTATTCGAGAAAACTAGTAGTATGTCCGTGATCGATTTAGGATGCTGTATTAAGCAGTAAGTGAATCGCTGCCTTGATCTCACATACAATCGCTAACGGAACTTCGCATCCTGAAGGAAGAAGATTTGCATCCTTGTTCCCAAAGAAGGTGTCTGATTCTTCTTTCTAATTGCAAGTCATTGTACCGGAAGAGAGAGCTCAGAACGTCCACTCACGTCACTGCAGTATCGCTGACCGGGAGGTACTAGGTTCGAGTACCAACAGTGGCAGTATTTTCGACATTAGATTATCTGCCAGGATGGATTCAGCCGCTGTCTGGAGAAGAATTCTAGTAGCTGGCTGCTCTGAACGGCAGTTTTCTGGTGTTTCTCCGATCAACACCAAGCGATTGCGGGAGCAGTACCCTAACAAATGGACCCAGGGCCGTGTGCTATCTTTCCTACCTCTTCCTCGTCCTATCCTTTAGTGCAGTTTTTCGCACATCTCATAACTTTCTCTCTACCCCCTAGGGAGAAAGTGAAATTATCATTTACGAACTTCTTAGATGCTGCAGCAGTTTGTAACACTTATTTTGAGACATTTGCGTGGGACTGAGATAAATGATATACAGAGAGTCTCAAAATATACGGTACAAATTTCCAGGGCTTCTGGTGGTCTGTAACCACGCTTTAGAACGTGATCCGTCGTATCTATGCATGATCAGTGGCCACATCAGTGTCACATCATAAGTATACACATCCCATGTGTATACTTATGTTTTTATAACGTGGCGCATGAAGGCACTTCTTCTCGATCAAGCACGGCTGGATAGGTCGCGATCATGCGACATCTAGCGGCACGACCGAGAAAGACGCGAAATGCCGTGAGATATTCCATCATGAAGACGGACCTTGACGTGCCACGTTATAATAACCGAGGTATAACTTTCATATATTAAATTTACTACATATGCTAATTGAAAAATTGACAAAATCTTCAACTACTTTGCAGATCCTAGACGTTTGTATTGTATATTATGAAATACCTGAAGAAAATAGCGAATTTAACGGATACGATATTCAAATATTAATTAAAAGGGCCAATTTCAATGTTGGGTGCATCGTTTATTGATTAGGGAAAAATTTAAAAATGTACAGCATAGAATGAAGCTCTTGAGCAGCGTCACATAGTACATATGAAATAGGTAGTTGGTTAGAACGGTGTAAGTTCGAGAGACTGAAGAAAATGAAAAAAATATGACTTAATTGTTGTTTGAAATAAAAATCGTACCAGAGTGCATGGATACAGATACTATCTTTAAAGTATCAACCTTGAAGTTTTAACCTCGCTAATTTTCGGCCATTCTAATGAGTTCTGACTATTGAAAGAGAAAGCAGATACTCATTATAATTTTAACAAGGTAACACAATTTTCTGAAAATTTTGAAATAAAAAATATGGGATCACTTAATAGCTACTTTTCTCACTCTCGCTCGATCACTTCAGTCGTCACAATTAGTCGTTGGAAACAGGTTGATTCGAGAGCCAGACGCAGCAGTTTCCTGTCATGAAATGCTATTGGACATCAAATCCAATAGCTAAATAACAAGTTG